TGTATGTGAATTTTAAATCTTTTATCTGCAGGACAGTTTGGCTTGGTGACTGATTATTTCCTAATGTATTTGAACAAACTTTCAATCTTAAAGCATCCATTTTTGCCATCGAGTTTGAAATATATTGTATAACATTTTACAGCTATCCTAAAGAATAGTTTATAAATGTTCTTTTCTATTTAGTCTATTATTAAAATACAAGGATGCTTTATCACTTTAAGGTGACATCTAGTTAGCCTGTCATTTCATCATCATATTAAAAATAGAATGATGTGGTCTTTGTTTTAAAGAAAGATCAGCCTACATAAACTGTAAAAATAAACAAATCAAAAGCAAACAACGAACCAACCAAAAAAAGAAAAATTAAGTGGAAAGATATAGCTCTACATAGCCCTGTTTTTGTAGGAAAACAAATTTATTTCCTTATGAATTGGATTAAGATGTTAGTGTTTTGTTTCTTGGTGCTGGAAAATTTTTAAAAAAAATCTTTATTTTTAAGTTTTAGGTGGATACAACATCTTTATTTTACATTTATGAGGTGCTATGGATCGAACCCAGTGCCTTGTGCATGCTAGGCGAGCACTTTAGCACTGAGCCACAACCCCAGGTCCCTGGGAAATTTTTTTTTTTAAATTTTCATCTTTTTTGGTAGACAATTCTAAAATATTCTTTCTATTATTAAGTAAACTTAGTAGTAAATGTTTGCTTTTGGCTTACTGTGAATTTTCAAGAAATAGGAAAAAAATTAATATTTTAATATTGTCATGTCAAAATAAATTTGGAGGTTTGCTCTATTGCTTTCCTTTCAAAGTACTGATAAGCATAATAATATTATAACCAGGTAATATGTAGAGAAGGAAGCCTTTTTTTTTTTTTTTTTTTTTTGCTACTGGAGCATTCGACCCCTGAGCCACTTCCCTATCCCTTTTTTTGTATTTGGAGACAGGTTCTCACTGAGTTGCTGAGACTGGCTTTCATCTCTCAATCCTCCTGCCTCAGCCTCTCAAGCTGCTGGGATTACAGGAGTGCACCACCTTGCCTGGGAAGAAGCCTGTTTTAAATATAGGATATTGAAGTTGTAGTTTGGAATCTTTCAAGTCACTTTTGTTTTTAAGTGTTCAACTCCTTGTCTCTGAAGAGAAAGAGACCCTTTAGTAAATGTAAACTTGGCTTCAGAATGTACTTTTCTTTAATGCATTTTGCAGTTGCTGTGAGAAGAGTAGTTTGTATTTAAAAGTGGAGGTTGAGAGGAATATTATATTGGACCTGAAGAAGTCATCTGCAGTGAATGATGAAGGACCAATCAATTGAAAAAAACAGAAAAAAGCTTAACAGGACCCCCCGCCCCCCGCCTGGTTTTCATTCTTCTAGGTTGTTTTCCTTTTTGTATGTCAAAGGGATGGGGTGATGATATTACAATTTACAGTTTTTTATGTGTAATTTGTTTGTTAAGACTAACTTCAGCATTATAAAATGAAGAAGCTAGTGATAAACAGAAGGATAATGTTTATCATTTCAGAAGCATTTCAAAAAGCTCTTTTCTTAAAACTATTTTATTTGTAGGATGCTTCTCTGCTCTTACTAAAAATCTGTTTAATTTTATTTATAGCTTATACATTTGTTATCAGATCTCCTAGCCTTTAACAGATTGAAGTAATAGCAATGGAGAGAAGGGCTACCAAATTATGATGAAGAATGCAAAGGCTTCGAAAGATCACCTACAAAGCATGGCATTCTGCCTCACCGAGTTTATAACAGCACTATCTTGATCCTTTGAGGTTGTGGAGCCCAATTTATTTCTGTAGTTGTGTTTCTGAGTAGAGAGTGAAGTTTAAGTGATGATACATTGTGCTTGTGAAGGAGAGAGGCAGGCAACTGAAAGCCACAGTTAGATATTATTTCACCCCAGTTAGAATGGTTATCATCAAAAAACACAAAATGGGCTGGGGACATAGTTCAGTGGTAGAGCCCTTCCTTAGCCTGTGTGAGGCCTTGTGGGATTGATCCACAGTATTGCAAATAAAGAATAACTAAAAAAGCAAATGCTTCCTTTTCTCTAAAAGGGAGTTCTTATACACTTTTGGTGGGAATGTAAATTTAGTATAATCACTATGGAAAACAGTATGGAAATTCCTCAGAAAACTAAAAATAGAACTCCATATGATCCAGCACTGTGCTTCTGGGTATATGTCCAAAGGTGATAAAATTCTTATTCCAAAAACATTTGTATTCTCCTGATTATTTCAGTACTTTTCATAACAGCTAAAATATGAAATCAACTTAGATCCCCTTCAGTGGTTGAGTGGATAAAGATCCCCCCCAAATGAAATATTATTCTTCCCTAAAAAGAATGAAATTCTGTCATTTGTAGCAACATGAACAAAACTGGGGGTCATTATGCTAAGTGAAATTAGACAAACACAGAAGGTCACATAGCATATGTTCTCACTCATTTGTGGTAGCTAATAAGTCAGTTTTGTAGAAGAAGAGAATGGAATAGTGGTCATTAGACTTTTGAAAAGTTAGGGTGAAGAGGGATTAGAAAGAATTTCATTAAGGGGCACCAAAACAGAGTAGAGGAATTACTTCTGGTTCTTCTTTAGCACAATAAGGTAATGATAGATCAAAACAATCTATGACATATTTCAAAATGATTAGAATAGTACAAAATTCCCAGCACGTAAAAGTGAATGTTTGAAGAGATGGAAATACTTATTAAAACATTATGATTAAGGGGCTGGGATTGTGGCTCAGTGGTAGAGCGCTCGCCTAGCATGGGTGGGACCTGGGTTTGATCCTCAGCACCACATAAAAATAAAGGCATTGTGTTATGTCCATTAAAAAATTATGATTAAAACATTACTTCAGTGTTTATAGCAGCAAAATTAAAAATAGTAAACTATGGAATCAACACAGGTGCCTATAAATAAATGGGTTAATATAGGTATATAGATAGATAATAGACATAGATTGATAGATTAGATAGATATATATAGATAAAAAACAAACATATATATATCTATATATATATATATAGATATGTAGATAGATAATAGATATAGATTGATAAATTAGATTAGAGTTCTTCTTAGCAACAATACAGAATGAAATTATGGCATTTGCTGGTAAACTTGTGGAAATGGAGAATATCATGCTAAGTGAAATAAGCCAAACTGAGAATCACAAAGATCAAATGTTTTCTTTCATATGCAGAAACTAGAGTAAAATAAAGGAAGAGGGCGAGAGTGATAGAATAACGTAAAGACAATGCAAAGATTAGTAATGTAGAAGAAGATCTACAGAGTGAGAGGATGAATAAGCGGAGGCAATGAAAAATGATTTTAAGAAAATCATTTCATGTACCTATCTAAATATTACTACAGGTAATTTCATATTTATAAGTAAAAAGGACCAGTGAAATATGAATAGATGAGTGATAGGAAGTTCAGTGGAGTAGAGGAGGTAGATCATGAAATGAAATCAATTATTGGGGACTAGGGATTTAACTCAAAAACCAAAGAAACCACGATTGGATTATTAAAGATTGTATACATGTATATAATATGTGAGTTGAATTACCACAATCATTCAAATATTATGTTCCAACAAAAACTAATTTTAAACTTAAGATACATAAATAATAAGTGGATTTGGTGAGAAAATGAAGTATAACACTATGAATTAGATTAAGATGATATTAGTGTTTTATTTCTGAGCTCTGACCAATTAACTATTAAATACTTAAATGATTAAAGGGAGGTTTTAAGATTGTTAATATGAATATCTTTAGTATTTTTCCTTCATTCAGCGTTCAATTGGAACAGTTAGAAAACTTAACATTTCTCTTAAAATCCCTTAATAGTATTTCATCTTCTTTGAAAAGCTTACTGTTAAAAGTTGAGGGTTGTTAAAAAGAATAGGAACAAGTGGTACTTATACACAATGGACTATTACTTAGTCATAAAGAAGAATGAAATTATGGCATTTGCTGGTAAATGGTTGGAACTGGAGACTCTCAAGCTAAGTGAAATAAATCAATCCCAAAAAACAAAGGCCAGATGTTCTCTTTGATATGTGGATGCTGACTCACAATGGGGTTGAAGGGAGTGGAGGTTCACTGGATTGGAATGGTGACAAAGGAAGGGGATGGGAATGGGAAAGAATATATGTATTCATATACGAATACATGACCAGTGTAGTCTACATCATGTAAACCACAACAATAGGAAGTTATACTCCAGTATCTATGATAAGTCAAATGCATTCTACGGTGTCATGGATAACTAAAAAGAACAAATAAAGACATCTCTTATAAAAACAAAGAGTGGGAACAAAATAATTGATAGAAATTAATAGGAAATTTTTCTTCTGTTTATTTCTTTTCTGAGATTTTCCAAAAATATTTGAAGGATAGAAATGATGCCCAATTTCCCTATTAATTATAAGTAATAAATATCTCAAAAGGGTTAAATAAAAATTACCAGTGCTTTAAAAAGCATAAATATTCTAAGATGGTAGTACCAGATAGTAGCCAGTGAGAGAAAATAAATGGAAATACCAGTCTGTGTAAAGGAAAGCAGAGTTTTACCTGTTGTCAGTTCAGTATTAGGCATTATGAAAAGTGTGATTTTTGTGATCTTAGTGTGTGTTTTGTATGGCCTCATTTAGACCACTTTGTGTTTTGTCTAAGGAGATACACACACACACACACACACACACACACACACACACACACACACACGATTCCTAGATCATTTTTTTCTGGCTTTTAAGCTCTGGAGTTTGATTTGGCAAAATATTTTCTGCTTTGACTACCTAAAGTGAAACCTTTAAATTCTTATCCATTTCCCCTTCCTAACTTGGCTTTATTCCTGCAAGATTTGCCTTTTCTGCTGGGTGTCACGTTCGGCACTGAAAGGCTTATCCTTTCATGCCCTATTCAGCTGAATTAAAGCATTTCTTTTGATACTAACACATTAACATTATTTTCCCAAACACAGCTGCCATCTACCTAAAGAACATGGTGACCCAGTATTGGCCAGATCGAGAACCTCCACCAGGAGAAGCAATATTTCCCTTCAATATTCATGAAAATGACCGCCAGCAAATACGTGATAACATTGTGGAAGGGATAATTCGATCACCAGATTTAGTGAGGTATGTTGTGTTTTATCTGTGTAATTACTAGGAAACATGAAATATTTGGATCTGGGATGAGAGCGATGAGTTTGTTTTTTTTCTTAAAAAAGGTAAATAAGAAAGATGGACACTCAAGGAGTATTATCTAACTTATGTCTTTGCATTTATAATTCTTTGCCTCAAAATATTTTGGAAAAGATTTAGTTGTCATAAGTTGCCTCAAAAAAAAAGTAAGGTAAAAATCAAACTTAACTAAAATGATTGTGTAAATTCTTGTGAAGTAAATAACCTATGTTGTTAATAATAATCTCTTCTTTCATATATACTTGCATTCATTTTTTTTTTGATATGAGGGATTGATTCTGGGAATTTTCTTTTTTTCCTTTTCTTTTTGGTACTTGGGATTGAAGCCAGGAGTGCTGAACTACATTCCCAGCTTTTTAAAATATTTTATTTAGAGACAAGGTCTCACTAAGTTGCTTAGTGCCTTGCTAAGTTGCTGAGGCTGTCTTTGAATTTGTGATCTTCCTGCCTCAGCCTACCAAGCCGCTGGGGTTACACTGTGCCCAGCCAATTCTGGAAATTTTAATCTACTGTTATTTTAATTCTTTACCTATGTTTTTATTCATGTTTTAAATGAACTAAATGTCTTTTCTTGCAGCAAAGAAAGAATAGTCAATATAAACTACAAAAGTTAATGCCAGTTTTTTAGATTCATAGATTAGATTAGAGGCTGTAGAGAGCACTGCCCAATAGAACTTTCTGCAGTGATAGAAGTGTTCTTTGTCCAAACTGTCCAGTATTTAGCCATGTGACTTGCCTTTTGAGCACTTGAAAATGTGGCTAGTGTAACTGACGAACTGCATTTTAAATTTCATTTAATTTTGATGCATTTACAGTGTGTATATGTAGTTAGTGACTGTTCTGTTAAGCAACAAAGCCAATGAGTCATACAGATTTTGCAGTCTTAGGTTGAGATTTTTTTCTTTTTTCTTACAGTACTAGAGATTGAACCCAGAGCCTTATGCATGCTAACTCTATCACTGAGTTACACTCCCAGCCCCAAGATTTGCAGTCTAAACCCATTAAGTCCCAAGTTTCCAATTCTGCAAATATAGTAAATATTCAAATATTATTTACCATAGTGTTGTATTTGTTGCTCAACTTATTAGTTTTTATAGTTTCACATTTGGAATAATGGAAAAAAATGGATTAAAGTAGTAGAAACAGATTTACTCCAACATATGAGCTAAAAATGGTGGGCAAGGGGCTGAGATTGTAGCTCAGTGGTAAAGTGCTTGCGTCGCATGTGTGAGGCACTGGGTTCAATTCTCAGTGCCACATAGAAATACATAAAGATACTATGTGTTCATCTACATGTAAATAAATATTAAAAAAAAATGTTGGGCAAGCCAGATGTAGTGGTGCATGCCTGTAATCCAAGCTGTTGGGGAGCCTGAGGCAAGAGGATTGTAAGTTTGAGGCCAACCTTGGCCACTTAGAGATTCTATCTCAAAGTGAAAAATAAGGGGTGCAGGTGTAGCTCAGTGGTAAAAGGTCTCTGGGTTCAGTCTCCAGTACAAAAGAGAAAAGAAAAGAAGCAAACAGATTAAACGGTGGTAAGGGAATGAAATTGTTTAATTATAACTTTAGCCCTGAGCGTCTAACAGAAATTATGATATAGCCAATGGGAAAGGAGGTAAATAAGAGAGTAACAGTAACAGGAAGAACAAACATTGAACCATTTGTGCAGTTATTTTGTTAAGGGGAGAAAATAGATGTGCTAATTGATGAAAATCATCATGATTCTCACTAGTTGCCAGTCATGGTCCTGATAACCCTGCAGTATCATCATGTATCCATTTTTTTGTCAAAATGCTTACATTTTCTGATTTACCTGAATCTTCTAATGATTTTACATAGTAACATGAAGGATGGCCTTTCATAGTCATTCTTTGGCTTGGAATGAGAAAGAACTGAGAGGTCAACCAAAGATGATTTTTTTTTTCTTGTTTTGTGGTGTTGCTGGTTGAATCTAGGGCCCTTGCGTGCTAGGCAAGCTCTCTTGCTGAACTACAACCCCAGCTCTGAAGATGAAATTTTTTGGAGGTGAGGGTGTACCAGGGATTGAACTCAGGGGCACTCAACCACTGAGCCCCATCCTCAGCCCTATTTTTGTATTTTATGAGACAGGGTCCCATTGAGTTGCTTAGTGCCTCGGCTGGCTTTGAACTCAACGATGCTCCTGCCTCAGCCTCCCCAGCTGCTGGGATTATAGGCATGCGCCATTGTGCCTGGCTCCTTGAAGATGAAATTTTTAAGAAATTAAAAGTGTCAGTTTTATTACATACAAATATGACCTATTTGTAAGGACTGTTGCTGGTGACATGAGAAGGCCTCCTGTTATGAAAGTTCTTTGTGGCTTTGCTCCTTCTGTCTTTAAGGCTTAATTGTAATCACCCTGAAGACATATTTTCTTCCAGTTCTCCAGTTTTATTTAAAAGTATTGCAAAGAAAATTTCAAATAGATTTGGTAGCAAAAGAAAAAGCCTTTTTTTTTGTTTTTTAAATTTACTGGTTTTTGGGAATCCAAGTTAGCAGATATTGAACTGAACATTTTTTCTTTTGTATCATAGAATCCTAATTTGCCAGACCAATTTTTTAACCATTTGCAAATTGTATGTAAGAACAAATTTAGTGATAATGTTGATAGTTTCTAGAAGCCACATTTTTTCCCTTATTTTAAATCTCTATTATGATTGAGAGCCTATTGAGGAAGTGATCACTGAACTAAATGTTGAGACAACATCTTTTATCACTTAACTTTGTGGTTTCATCAAAGGGATAGTCTCTTTTTCTGTTTTGTATCTTTTCTGTTGCTTTCTAAATTTATTTATTTGGAGACGGCTCTTAGCTTTCCTCTTCAGAAATTGCCTGGCTAATGCATGTTTTTTTCTTATACTCAGAGTACAAAAATTAGTATCTCAGCTGCTTTGACGAGTGCAGCACTCACTGCTGGTTGTTAACTGATGAGGGATGAGTGTTCAATGTTTTGGTTCATTGAGATGCTTCCCATAGTTTTGTAAACCTCCATTTAACTTACTTTTACCATCTGCAAACTAAGTCTGTCTAGTTGAAATGATGAACTATTTTCTCTCCTCATTCCTTTTAGGATTTGGTAACCAAAATATAAAATACAGCATGCTGAGAAATCTTACAAAGCTGAGGTAGATTCTTACTTTTACCATCTGCAAACTAAGTCTGTCTAGTTGAAATGATGAACTATTTTCTCTCCTCATTCCTTTTAGGATTTGGTAACCAAAATATAAGATTTCTCAGCTGTAACATGCTGAGAAATCTTACAAAGCTGAGGTAGATTCATTGTTTTGAGATTTTTATGAGTTCTTTTTTGTTTTTTTTTTGGTACTGGGATTTAACCCAGGGATACTTTACTATTGAGCTACATACCCAGCCCTTTTTTATTTTTTATTTTGAGGCAGAGTCTCACTAAATTGCTGAGGCTGATCTCGAACTTGTAATTCCCCTATCTTAGCCTCCTGAGTTGCTGGGATTACAGGCATGTACTATTGTGCTTGGCCTTACAAATTTATTTTTAAGTTCATATTTTAAAAAGCTGTCTTTAAAATAAGACACTTTGAAAAGCTTTATTCATTTTCGTTCTGTTTATTTTTTAGTAAATTGAGCTACTGAGGAATTTAAAAAAAAAACAAAACCTATTTTATTGATTCTCTGCCAGCACATAGAGTATCTTTTTTTTTTTTTTTAAAGAGAGAGTGAGAGAGGAGAGAGAGAGAGAGAA